TAAATGCAACGCATAATCAGCGTATCGATCCTACGGATCCACTCATCACAACACATCACCACAACGCACTCCAGGCGTGTCAATTCTACTGGTCCACATATCCCACACACTTAGCACATCGTGCACACATCTCACAAAACACATCCACACTTATTGAGACTTAACACATAATCCCCTGATTATGTCAAAGGCGATAAACGCCGGCCACACAGCCCTACAACCTTCAACATACACTCGCCTCAGCTCTCCAACAAGCTCATCATCAAACATGCCCAACAAGGGTCCAAGTCCACAAAGGAAACAAAATAAAACAGTAGCAAAAACACAAACTGATGTCGGGCTCGCTGGCACATTCGCCCGGCGAAGCCCCGCAGCGAACACTCGCTGCCATTCGCCTGGCAAAGCCCCGCAGCGAATACTCGCTGGAACTCGCCTGGCGAAACTTCTAGCGAAGCCAGACAGTAGCTTCTGCCAGCACTCGCTAGCCAGTTCGCCTGGCGAAGGCTCGCTCCCCCATTCGCCCAGCGAAGGCTGGCGAACACCTGCAGAATCAGAAAAATTCTGCGTAGCAGAATCATCACCCACACCGATTCCACCCGATTAAATCGAAATTCACAACCAACAACATACTACAACTTGGTTACGGGGTCTGTTCCCGATTCTATCCGACAATTAATTAATTAAACTCTAACAACCAACTTCTGGCTCTACTCCGAACTCAACCGGAACCCCAAAATTCACTCAAACAATCGAACCCAACCACATGCAACGAATTAACACATTTCAACACAATAATAACAGCTTCAATAACATGCAATCAATTATCAGATCATCAATAATCATTGGGGTTAGGGATTTTCCCCCTTCTCTACCTATATTCATGCAATACCAATTTAACCGTTAAATCCCCCTACCTCAATTGAAGTTCTGATGTTGATGAAGCACCAAAATCTTCACGAATTCTGCTTGCTCTAGCTTGCTTTCACGGTCGAGCTTCTCTTTCCCCTTCCGTGTTCTTCGTACGCGTTCCTTTCTTTCCTTCCAATTCTAATTTCCACAAATGACAAGTTTGCCCTTAATCCCAATAATTCTCTTTTATTCTCAATATTATAATTCTCATAATAATAATAATAATCCTCTTATTTCTTTTAATTTACAAAAATTCATGTAATCATATTTTCTCATATATTAGTATTAGTAATAACAATAATAATAATTAATAATAATATTACATTACCATTAATTATCACTTTTTATCACTTATACTAATATTATGAGTTCTTGATCCTCCAAATAATTTCTTAAAACACATCCGCGAATAAAATAACTCAGAAACCAAAAATAATTAAAATGGGCGTTACATTCTCCTGCTTTCTTCTTTCTACTCTTCTTCTGGATGTTGTTGATGTTTAGAATTTAAGATTATTAATTTAGGGTTTAGTTTTAGGATGCTGTGGAAAACATTATGTTGTTGATGTTTTAGGGTTAAGTTTGAAGTTTGTTGTTTTTCCTTGTAGATACATGGTGATGATGGTGGTAGCAAGCGTATAATATGGTGATGGTACATATGGTTTTTGTTGCTATGGAAAAATATGAGAAGTATGAAGTTCTCGTATAAACTTCATCCACCTTATATTTTTTCTTCATAGTATCACAAACTAGATGAACTTAGTATATCTTGATTTGTTACAGTTCCACGATATTTTCAATAAGAGGTGCGTTATTGACTCAATGTATCTTGATTTGTTACAGTCCCACTTAGGGTTTTGTTTCAACTATAGATGAATTTGTTTTGAATACTAACTATTTTATTTAATTTGAAGTAGCTGAAGTTGTATAGTAAAGATGATACATGATGATGATGATGGTGGTAGCAAGCATATAGTATGAGTTGATAAGGTACATATGACTTGTGTAGCAATGGAAAAAAATACAAGAAGTATGAAGTCATTGTGATATTGTATGCTGTTAGTGTTTTGTTGCTAAAATAATGTATGTTTTTTTTATTGTGTTGCATGGATTTGTTGTGTTGTTGTTGACAAATGTTCTCAAAACAAGAACAAAATATTGCTAAGTCACAAGAAATAGGCTTCTTGTGACTTAGCAATGTTTTGTTCTTTAAATTCTTATACAGGTTGACAGTAGATGAAGTTTTGTTTATTATATACTATATATATTGTTTGTTTCACTAACCTTTTAATGAAATGCAATCATTTAAATTGACATAGAAACTTATAATCTGAAAATTCAGATGTATTTGAAAACCAACCTATATCAATCAATGTTTTCCGAATTGCATGCATCTCATTCTGCATATTTTATGTTCTTTAACATATAATATATGGTTTAATGGTTTGTTTGCTTCAATACATCGATATCTACAATTCTACTTTACCTCGTTGTCGTCGCTTATCACCGTGATTATGAGATCATGATTGTTATGATGATAAGTCATCATAACAATCGCGATGATAAGCAACGATGATGAGGTAAACTATAATAAAAGATATTGATGCATCGAAGGAATCCAACCATTGAACCGCATATGTGTTAAAGAACATAAAATGTACATGATGAGACACATGCAATTCCGAATACAATGGTGTGTTTAAGTTGGTTTTCAAGAATAATTTAATTTTCAGATTATATAGTTCTTTGCCAATTTTAATGGTTGTATTTCTTTAATGAGGTGTATGGTAAAACAAGCAATATACATTAGTATATAATAAACTATGGGTACGTTCCACAAATGTTTTCTAGATTAACCGTGATCTAATGTAATTTATTTGCTGCTGCTGGATTTTGAACCAAGTATTGTATATATCACAACGATTTTTAAGCATAACCTCGTGATATACCACACGCTTTCCAGAATAAAACAATGGTCCCTGGATCGTGATTATAAGTAACACATTTACGATAACACTCTACATAACAACGTCTTGATCTACGTGATTATATGTATTTTCCAACCATTGTTAAATGGGTTTCCATAGTAGTGTACTCTTCCACCAATAGAAATAGGAATGAGTAACTGAGATTGGTAGATTTGCCTCTTTTCCTCTTCCTGAGGAGGTTCCGATACATATTGTTGGTTGCCCACCACGCTAGAGTCGTAGATCGTATGAACATGGCAAATAACTGGTTGCCTCTTGACCTCCTTGGGAAGAACGGTTGTTTGCTTGGACACCATTGTTGAGTAAAAGCTGAAGTAATTTTGGGTTTATTAAAGATCTGCTTAAGAGAAGATGAATAATTGCTTTTGTGCTTGAAAGAGAGAGGAAGATTCAGAAAGGTGGAAAAGTGGAAAAAGAAATAAAGAAGAGTATTTATAGTGAAAAGTAAAACACTTCATTTCAGCCACTAGGGGTAGTGGTTAAGGTAGTGGGGCATGTGTTAGTTCATTGCGGTGAGGTGAGATGGTTGCAGGTGATAGCCCACTATTTCCTAGTTAGTAGGGTGTAATGGTTACTTTCTAGAGCTCTACATGTCTTCTGCACGTCTTGATGAAACTACTGAAATGGCGTGGTCATGATGACCATGACGTCACAATAATAACGATACAATAACGTCGAAAAGCTTAAAAAAAGTCTTTCTCTCTTTGCAATCGAAAATGACATATTTGGAGGGCAATTTGTTGGCCAGAATTTCGACACTCATTAATGCTAGAGGTGAGTTGAGAAGTTTGAGGTCATATTCTGAGGAAAGGCATGATGAATTCGACAACAAAAGGTATTTCAACGACAGTGAAGGCTGGAAGGGGATTTTCGAAATTTGAAGACTCATGCGTAAGAAGAAGCAATATGGTTCGCCATGAGAAGATCTATTCGAAAGAGATTATGCATAGGAGACCCTGTGGTATAGGACTTAGAAAGACTTTGCATAAATTGGGATTCAACGAAGCCTTTCAGAGGGGGCGTTCGATATAGGAAGTTCAGATGAAGCTGGTAACCGCTTTTTGGCTTTATCCGTTTCGTGGGACACATGGAAGACTTTCAGGCGACGAAGTGCATGTAGTGGAACGTGGCACATTCTGGAGAAATAACTGCAAGGGGCAGTTATTTCTAATTTAGTATAAATAGAACATTATAGCATTTAGAATAAGGTGTTCAACCATTATACAAACTCTACATTTTACTTCCAGTATCTGTGTGTGTGAGAAAATAGTTCCTTTGAGAGAATGTACGTTTGAATACCTTCTTTTACAATTAAAGTCATTTAAATTTCAGTCAGTTTTCTTCATTGCAATTTTACTTCATTGCTATTTACCTTCAAGCAATTTATCATTTTATCTCTCTGCAATTTACGCTTTTCTTTTACTTAAGAGAATTTCACAATGTTCTTTTGATAACATTAGAAAATACTCAAAGAGCATTGTATAAATGCATTGTATAAATGTTCATGTTCATTGAAATCAAAACTAACTTAAGAACACATGTCATAAGATCAATCTAATTGATCCTGTAAGCGACCAAAAATTTAATAACTTTAAAAGACTAATGGTTGTTTACCATTTTTACCCGTAAACAATAAACTAACCACATGAGTTCAAGACTTTATCTTCCCATAATTTTTTTTATCAAAAAAGTTTAGGTGAATTAAATTTCGAGATTAAAATCACAATATATCTAAGTAAAAAAACACTTATATGAATATTTAAGTTTTATATCAAAGAGATCCTCACCTCGAAAAAAAAAAAAATGATGTGTGATGTGTGAGCACCTCTTTATTAGAGAATCTTACCTTGGCCTTCCCACAATACTATAGTAATTTGAGAAAGAGCGGATATAAGTTTTGAAGTTGAGAACATCTCCTACGGTGCTATTAGTAAATCTACTATTGTTAAAGCGCTTTCTTCAAAGGACTAAGAGATAAAATAACCCCCATTTATCACGTGTCATCATTTTTGCTCTCATCACCACTTCAGAGTTCAGATAGTATACAAGCAGTATTGTTCACAGAAACGGTCAAGGAAATCGGCGGTGACCGGTGAAGTAGCAATGTTGACGATGATGAGCCAGATTCGTTTTCCGCTTTACGTCAAATCCGGAACTCATTGCTGCTACGCCTCCGCCTCAATTTCCGAACCTCAAGTCCTTAACGGCAACCCTGGCGGCACAGTCTCCTCCCGGCAAGAGATCCGTCTCGGTTTGCCGAGCAAAGGTCGAATGGCTTCCGACACACTCGAACTTCTCAAGGTTTCAATTTCTTTCCTAAGGCCTCTAAAATTCAGTTACTGATTCAGCATCTGTAATTTCACATTCACTTTCACAAACAGTGTAATTTCACTCTATCTCTCTTTGTAACTAACTCTAACTAACCTAACTCCTTTTTTCTTGAAGGATTGTCAATTGTCGCTGAACTTATCGATGTTAACTTGAATAAGCTAACAGATTGAATATGAATTGTTTGTTGAAATTATCTATTAAGCTAGTTATATACAAGGTTTTAAATATCAATTGGGTTGTGGTCGCGTAAAGGCTTTCATGATTTCAGTCGGTAAGGTGTTGTGACACTGATTGTGTTCGTCGCGGTGGTGGTGTGAATTAACTACAATTTGTTGTTTAACATGAAAACTGTGAATAACCTGCCGATTCCGTTTTGGCAAGGCCATTTTGGCGGTGGTGGAAAACTGATTTTTAAAACCTTGGTTATATATATGAAATGATATAGAAAAAATATGATCGATTAATATTTAATTTTTTAATTAATAGAGTAACATTGAGAGAAAGAATGATAAGTATAAACTACTTGAAATAGCTTATAAAAAAACGCTGTGAGGTATCAGCTATAAGCTAAATTTTTTAGTGCTTACTAAAAGCACCCTATCTCTATGTTACTAACATCAGCTCCTTTGCTCTTGAAGGATTGTCAATTGTCAGTGAAGCAGGTTAATCCGCGCCAGTACGTTGCACAGATTCCTCAGGTAAGATGCCTTTTCTTTTTTATCTTCACTTTGCAATACTTATTAAAGTTGCTTAGCTTTCTGTTAATTGGTTCTATTGTCATTTAGTTAGTTTCACGTCATAGTTAGTAGAATAATAGATATATAGTTAGTAGAGTTGGTTAGATAAGTTGTCATGTTATGATTACTTACTAATTACTCTAGGTACTAAATTAATTGCTTTCTTTATTATGTTGCTTAACTAAACAACAACACTAATGGCTCACCAATGGTTTCCAAATGTTGGAGCAAGCATACACAGCCAGTTATCCAAGAATACCATATCCAAAATTGATTTAAAAAATTATGAATCTGGTTTAATCGATTTTAAAAGGTTAAAAACCATTTTTTAAAAATGAATCTTTATGTCTAAAACCGGTTTTAAGAACTTAAAACTTGTTATAGAACTGATTATGCATATAACCAGTTTTATGACGGATTTTGTGAAAATAAAACCAATTGTGTTGATTGGTTATAGTATCCGGTTATGACAAGTGGATTATAAATGGTTATGGATTGGTTATGTGGACAATCGATCCATGAGCAAATCTAGTTTTGAACTCCATTACTTCACGTTTCACCAACATTAATTAACACTGTGTTACACTGTTCAACCCCACCTATGATATAAAATCAACCCTATGTGTATGTTGCTACTCACATTTTTGTAGTTGCTAGTTTAAGTTACTGAGTTTGGCATTTGCTTTTGATGCCCACAATGCCACTTCTTGTCTTGCTATTTAAATCCGTTTTGGTAGAAGAAACCTGTTATGTTATTATTTATACCTGTTTATTCGTTTTGACTCCTTTAAAGTCCTTAGTAATGTGAGAAAATCAAACATTAATCTTTCAACACACCCATGATTTGTTAGGCACATGCACATGATACAAAATTATCAACCACTAATTTGTTCATCAACTGTTGATATTACTCACTGAACACTTTAAAGTGAATACTGTTCATCTTGAGTGAGGTGACATCTCCTCCTAGCTCTTCTAAAGGATAACAAGTGATTTTTCATACATTGCAGCTTTCCAACTTGGAAGTCTGGTTCCAGAGGCCAAAAGACGTTGTAAGAAAATTGTTATCCGGTGATCTTGACCTTGGTATTGTGGGACTCGATATAGTCAGTGAGTTTGGCCAGGTGAGCATATCTGTGAAATTTGTTTATTATCTTTTGGGGAAATTTCTATTAATTTATTTCTTTTAGTTATGCAAGTAAGGCATCTCACCTTCCATTGACCAAATGTCAATGACTATATGTACAACAATTTACATTCTGTTTTACAGTTTTGCAGCAACTACCCTTCTCAATTGATGTGATTGTTTTTTCCGGTTACATTGTCTATACTATATGTGGCAAATGATACAAAATTACTAGCAAAGGGAAATCATTGACAATGCTTAATACTATCATTATCTTAAAGTTAAAATTTGAAAAACACGCCTTCTACTCTACTCATCTGATCATGGTTGTCAAAATCACGATCTAGATCTTATAATTTTACGATTTTGCAATCTCACTCACCCCAAACAATCTAGATCTTAAGTAGAATCGTGTGTTGTAGCAAAATTGTGAAAATAATTGTGAAACCATTGGTTATGTGCGATCTCGGCTAGTTCCAACCACAATCATGTTTTCCAGTCACCACCATTACATGCCGAGAATGATGACAAATGACAAAGGCGCAAAATTTACGTTTTGGCGGCGTCCATTTTCCCACTAATACACTTGCCTACCAAAATATATGTAAAAATACTTCAAATATATAGCATAATTTTTCGTTTTAGTAGTATCTTAAGATTTTTGTTACGATCTTATGTTTTACGATATTGCTTCCCCTCTCGATCTTTCAAAAATAATTGAGTATGATCTTTCTATCTTAGTTAGGATTTTGTTTTTACGATCTTAGTTAGGATTTTATTTTTACGATCTTACTATCTCCCCTCGATCTTATGCAAGATCACGATTTTGACAACCTTGCATCTGATCCCTTCAATTTCTTTGGAGATGACTTAGATCACCTTCTCTTTTCCGTTTCTTCAGTCATCTTTGCTGCCACATTAGCAGCAATATCACATCCTCTTTCAACCTCTTATCTGTTCGGCTCTTTTTCCTAGGGGTGGTAAACGGACATGCCTGACCCACCAAAGCCCGCCAAAAAACAGGGCAGTGCAGGCCGGGCAAAGTAGATGGGCAGGCCGGAAAGCTTGGCTAGGCCCGCTAAAAAATGGGACTGGGGTGGGCATGGCCGGCCCTGCCATTCCTAAAGCCTAAAAGTGGCAAAAAGCCATGCCACCTGTTTAGGCATATGCCCACCCAAAAAACTGGATGTGATGGGCTTTTGCAGGCCCAGCTCGTTTTGCAAAAAATGGCGGGCAAAACGTGCTGACCAGCCTTTTTGCCACCTCTACTTTTTCCTATTAGATGTAACGTGAGCCTTGCATTGTTTGGGAATGCTCACTTGGCACAGCAATGTTGGCTACTATTGCCTCTCTTAGTGACAGATTACGGGCAGTGAAGCACTTTTCTGCAGTAAAAGCTAATTGATTCCACAACTTTTGGTTTTGAAATTTAACCCTTTCCTATATCTGAAAGAATTTATGGCATATTGTTTCCATTTACTCCCACCGCAAGCATAACAAATCTTAGCTATGTAGAAACCACATGAAGAATAAACCACCTCTACATTGGGAGACCCCTGGACCCAACTGCAAACATGAATCTTCCAAAAATTTTAAGGCTAAAACTCCACTTGAAGCTCACCATGGTTTTCATAATTGATGATATCAGATTTTTTATTTGTAAGAAATTGATAGAACCAGTAAATTTAAGATAATGAAACTGTATAATATTTGTGAAATATTTGAGCTCATGGGCTCTACAATGAAGGAAAATGATAACCAGAGTGAAAGACTCCTATCCCAGAGCTAAGCTCCTCCCAGAGAGAGACTACTCTCCTAACTAACCATCAACAAGAAACCTGAATATTTTTCTCGCTCCTTACTGCCCTCATATTCATACCAACAGAACTGAGTGGCCTCTAATGCCACGTCAGTAGCTACCCTCTTCCGCTTAGTTGTTTGGCTTAGGCCCAAACCCAGAATCCTATCACCACTCGCCGCTAGAAAAACAGACCTGACCTCAAGCCTGAGCTTGAGAAACGTTGCGCTTCCTTCACCACACCCATGTGCCACCGAATTAAAGACTAACTAACTGAGCCTCTTCTCAAGGAAATTCTACATTCAAAGAGTATGTCCTGGTGCTGATGGAATCGCCTAGATCTGGCGGTTTGGACGGCAGGAATCACCGCTGTATTGAAGTCGCAGGTTGACTGACGTCCAGAGGTTTCAATGAAAGTCGCAAGCCAAATCTATGCACATTCTCTCTCCACCGCCATGCCAAATACTTCCATCTTTTCTGACTTTCCCAATTCAATGCAGGCCTCAAATTCTTTTAGTCTTGCTTCTTGCTATACCCGTATGGAGGGTTGCCGCTGCCACCATCGATTGTGGTTGTTTCTGCATCTACTCACTCTGCTTCACTTGCTAAGAAAAAGGTGTCATCCACTCGACCCGTGGTTTTCCCTTCATTCTTCTCTTACACTGTGATGCGACACACACCAAACACTACCATTTTTTTTGTTAAGATACTTGTTCCGAGAGTTTGAGCCCTCTGGATTTACTTCGTTCATCTTCCTCACCATCTTAGATTTGGAACTGAACATTCAAAAGTAAGAGAAAGAATGAGCACCCGCAGATGATAGATAATATTGCAGTCTTGCATACTCTGTCATCCTGATTTGACAGAACTCCTCCGCAGTTTTTTGCTGGGAGTTCTCGCTGCGTGATTCTCACTTTCAATGCAACCAGTAAATTTAAAATGATGAAACTAAAGTGTATATTATTTATGAAAGAGTTGAGCTCATAAATGATAGCCAGCTCATAAATGATAGCCAGAATCTAAGGCCCCTTTTACTTTGTGAAAACATTTTCTATTTTCATTTCTTAAAATATATGTTTACTTTAACTTGGTAATGAGGAGATACTAGACTATTGGAGCAAACCATTGTGTTCATTTTTCCGAAACAATGAAAATGCCAAAAACTTGTTTTCATTATTTCCGAAAATGCATCATCTCAAGCTAGCATTTCATCTTCTCTCCATCACAGTTGTTTCTTTTAAGAGTCTAAATCTCCTTATTAACAAGTTAAAATAAACATAAAATTCATGAAATGAACAAATATTTTCAAAATAAACGGGGGCCTAAGATTCCTACCCAGAGCTAAGCTCCAATCAGAGAGAGAGTACTCTCCTAACAGACCATCAACAATCAACTTGAATGATTCTCTCACTCCCCTTGCTGCCCACATACTCCCATTCACTAACAAAATTGAGCGGGCTTTAATGCCATGTCAGTTACTACCCTGCTCACCTTAGTTGTTGGGCTTAGGCCCATATCCAAAGTCCTATCAGAAATAAGAATAGCATATCCCATATTTGCCAACTTATAAACTAAAAATTCTTATCCTATATTTAGTATGACTAACATGAATTAGACTTCCCTGACAATTCCTATTGAGAGCAGTAAGTAGTGACTTTTTATAATCTGTGCAAAAAATTATTTTGCCACAGTTCTGATGAGTCCAAAATTGGAGATGCTAGTCTTATACCCTAATATTAGAAACGTTTCAAGATCAACATACTTCTTTAAAGCATCCATCTCTAGGATCATGGAAAATGTCTCTGCAGTTAAAATTTCATATGACTTGGTGCGCTTTAGCCCTGATTGACAGTTCTACTTGTGTTTCTTTTTTGTACGTTGTCTGTCTAACTTATATCCACAATTTTCCAGCTTGGAACGTTGCTTTTCCCCTAAGCTTAACTGCAATTGCAGATCAATCCTCTCATATCAATAAACAATATAAGAAGACGACATAGGCCAATGGGCTGAGTTAATGTTGTCAGTTTGTAATTTTAATTATGTTGGGTGTAACTGTCTAATTCAAATAAATAGGGCATGGAGGTTTGGCAGATTTTCTGGGACTGGTTTTTGGGAGGGAGAGACCAAACTCTCTAATTCTTGGAAGGGGACCACTTTGTAACCGCAACCCCATCCTTTTCTTAACTTTAATTTAGTTTGTGGTGTGATATCTTGTAACATTGTGGGTCCTCTGTTTCTTATACAGAATTCCAGTGTTTGTGTAATAAACTTGTTGACATCTGAATTTATTAACATAGATACTAGCTTCTATCATAATATATCCATGAGGATCAATTTTTTTTAAGTCTTTTAACGAATATCCTTTTCAGGGTAGTGAAGATCTTATCATTGTCCATGAGGCATTGGATTATGGTGATTGCCGTTTATCAATTGCAGTAAGTTAAAAATTACATGCTTGTGAAACTGCTAGATCCTACTCCAACCAATATCATTGTTTTGTTCAACTAACTCTCTTAGGTAACCTCTGTTGTTTCAGATTCCGCAGTATGGAATATTTGAAAATGTAAACTCACTAGAGGAACTAGCAAAAATGCCTCAATGGACAGAAGAAAAGCCTCTGCGAGTTGCAACTGGATTCACTTATGTACGTGATTCACATTCAACTAATGTTTCTTAGTGTTATCTGTGCTACAATTTCTACAGTTTTCCTTCTAAAAGAGAATGTCTGATCTGAATTTTCTTCTTACTGTTCAGCTGGGTCCTAAATTTATGAAAGATAATGGCATTAAGCATGTTGCATTTTCAACTGCTGATGGAGCACTAGAGGCTGCTCCTGCGGTGAGAGACAGTGTTTGTTTTATTAGAAGTTTTTCCTTTATGTTTTCTTATTATAAAGCATTTATTTGATTGTTCTGGTATGAGTTTGATTTATACTATCAAATGATATTTACTGGGGTTTGTAAGGAGTTTGGCTGATATAGTTGTTGATAAGTTTTTTTGTCTGTTTTTCTTATGGCAATTTTTGTTTTTGTTTTTGTTGTATAGCTTAATACACTAATCATTGTTAAATGTTTTCTGTGATCCCAAAGATCAAGGATCAATTTTTTATGTCTAATTGCTGAAACAGATTGTGTTCAAATTTCATAGGATGAAAAACTGTAAAACTGAAGATGTATTCTCTCCGGTTGATTAGTTTGTGGTTAGATTAGATATACATAGAGTAGTCAATATTCTGTATTCAAGGACAACAGATATGCTGTCAACTGTCAAATTATAAATTATAGATTTCTTGAATGTTCCTTATATATGTGTTTTTTATTCTGCAAGAGATAATAAGCTTTATGTGCTCTTGTCGTTTCCCTTCTATATTCTCTCAGTGAAAAGGTAAACGTTCCATGTTGACCGACACTTGTTAAAGTTCCCGATTTTTATAGCATTGTTTAAGTAAAAGCAATTAGGACCCCGTTGAATTAAGAAGTTTGATCTAATTACAAATTTCTGGTTTATTTGTTAAACTTGATTGTAATTAGTTCTTTTTTATCTTTTATGCTAGGGGGGGAGGGGGAGTGGTGTGAGGTTGAGTCTGTAATTTTTTTTTGAATGACAAATTGTTAGTAGTTACTCACTCTTGCCTGGACTTGAACCCTGAACCTTCAACTCCCTTTAACCCTTAAATCATCTAGTTCAAGCCAGTTGAGCTATCCTTCCCACCCATATTGAGTATGTATTTGACTATTGGGTTCTGATCCCGAGGCCTGTTGTAATTTGAACTCTGTTCTTAGTGATATATGGCAATATCTATGTTGTGTATATTTCAGATATGATTTTAGTCAATTCATGTTCACGATGCAAATTACAAAAAAATTTCTGTAGAAAATATATTCTCCCATATAAAATATTTCCCTATTATCATTTTCTCAGTTGTTTTGGTCTTTGCACCTAGAAAGAAATAATTAATTGCTTCATGACCATCTCTATCTCATTGATGCTGTTGCCACCATATGCTTGACCTAATATTTTTGATTCATTTAGATAGTTGTTTGTCTTTGCTCTATTTAGATGGGGATTGCTGACGCTATCCTGGACCTTGTAAGTAGTGGAACTACGTTGAAAGAAAATAACTTGAAGGAAATTGAAGGTGGAACTGTTTTGGAGAGCCAGGTTGGCAATTGTCAAATTTTACGACCTTAACTAGCATGATCTGTTTTTTTAAACACACCAGGAAACTGCTGCTTCTTGTGCCTTGTCAGACTTGATTTCACTCTAACAATTGAACACTTTTCAGGCTGCTCTTGTTGCAAGCAGGAAATCATTGATCAGTCGAACAGGAGTACTTGAAACAACTCATGAGATGCTTGAAAGATTGGAGGCACATCTGAGGGCCATGGGGCAGTTCACGGTGCATATATAGATTTACAACTCCCCATCTCCCCAAACTCCAGTTTCTTCTTTTCTTTTTGTTCATTTTTCTAATGCTAAATTTGGCAGGTTATTGCAAACATGAGAGGAAGTAGTGCAGAAGAAGTAGCTGAGAGAATACTGAGCCAACCATCATTATCTGGGCTGCAGGTGTGATATGGGATGAAACATTTTGTGTGATACGCGATGAAACATTTTTCCCAACCCTAATTAGTTTCGGGGGAGGATCTTCTACCTTTCTGTATTTGCTTTTCGCACTAGCAAAATCTGATCTATACTATGCATTGTTACAATGAGTAGTATAATCTTTCTTTGACCACTCCTGATTTTAAGAGACATCCTTGATGGTTCATATGCAGGGGCCCACTATAAGTCCAGTTTTCAGCAAGCGCGACGGAAAGGTAGCAGCAGACTACTATGCCATAACCATATGTGTGCCCAAGAAGGCATTGTACAAGTCTATTCAACAATTGAGAGAGGTAGGTTTTTGAGCTAGTGTCAGCTCTGTAAAAGTTATTGTACTCCTCAGTTCTTGCTTTATCATATGACATCACATTTTAGCTAAATACCATGCCTTCTATTTGAACTGCATATGAAAAGACTAATTCTTTCTTGTTTATCATGATTCTCATACCAATTCTTCTGTTGACTGTGTTCCTATGATGCCAGATTGGAGGCAGCGGAGTTCTCGTATCACCTTTGACCTATATTTTTGACGAAGAAACTCCTAGATACCGTCAGCTCCTTTCTAAACTTGGGCGTTAGTCATACATGTGCTCCATTTATGGAGTTGTTTTGTTGTTTGCCCACCTCAGAAAGATAATATAAAATGCCGAAAACTGTAGAAAACTGAAATGAAAGAATTCTGCATGCTTAAAATTTTGTAGCAAGCCAGTAGTTTCTTTAATTAATTCTCTCTGTAATAATTTTGGAGTTATAAGTGGGGGTGGGTTCGACATTGTTGTGTTAGTTAAACTATGTTATTGTAATTTTTAACCTTTTAGTTGATTTTACCTGTTACCAGCTACCTAAAGGAGCTGGTATCTTCTTTGAAATGGTCTTTGATGCATGCGAAATTAGAAACCTGTTGGAAGGCCCAGCATTACTTAATTAATTAAGCAGCGGGTGATGATTCTCGGTTGGTAGATCTAATTATGTTGTCTTGGATTTGAAAATTATACCTCATAACCCAACAATTATACCTGTATCTCTACGGATTAAATTTTTGAACAAAAATATTCATGTATAAATATCAATAATTTTAAAATTTTCACCTTTTTTCTCATTTCATCTCAGTAAAAACGGTAAAAAATTTGACATCACATTGTACTCTCAGAAAATCCACACACAAGATTTCCGATTTGCAGATTTTCACTTCGAAGAACTTGCAAGTGAGTTTTCCGGTTTTTTTATAATTTTTTTTTATTTTGCTCGCTCCGGATAACTTGGCACCGTGTTATCCATTTTATTTTTTTCCACTCCGGATGACTTGGTGTCATGTTATTTGGTTGCAACTAGATAATTTGAGTTCATGTAATTCGGTTCTTTTCAATTCTTCTCCGAAAAACTTGATGTTCTTTATTAAACCGGAACACTTCAACATAAGTTTTTTGGAACTATAAAAAATTAAAACCGGATCACTTGTGACAATATTATCCGGAGTTAGCTTTTCTGTCATTCAAAATCAAATTGGATAACTAGCATACAAGTTATTCGGTTCAGTAAAACAACACACTGAATGTAGCATCATCATATTCTCTGGTTGGATAATAATACGAACCAAAATTCTTGACTTGTGGTTATCCGGTTCACGTCGTGTACTTTCAAATAGTGTTTTTTACTCGTTCAGGACAGTAAAAAAATAAAATAAAAAGTAAAAATTAACAGGATAAAATTGAAATATTTGTAAAATTGTAGGGTATAGGTATAATTGTGGGAGTGGGTAAAATTTTCCTTGGATTTATATATGTGTAAGAACAAACTGAAAACCGGGAATCTCATGTTATATATTGGTATCGAATTTGCTATTATGTACATAATCTTCATTTTATCTTGGTTTTGTTGGGTTTGGGTACTCACTATTAATAAATATTAGAGAATTTCTTATCTATGCGCTAAAATACTCCCTGATTTTGGAGATGTATCTCCGGACGCATCTTTTTTCATCTTTTTTTTAATTAATTTCGTAAATGCATTTACAAATATTTTCGTATGCGTATTTACGGAAGAAAACCAGAAACAGAATATTAGAAAATCAACATTGCAACGACAAAATCAACATTCATAAAATAAAATCGGTGTTACATTGATGATTTCGACAAAAATTTAAATACTAAATTTCAATAGTCCGGTGGACGCTTGCACATCTCTAAGTGATCATGCAAGTTTCAAATATAGCGGAAATTTTTGTAGTTGTATCTACAGAACAATCTGGCGCTTAGACGTTCCGGAGATGCATCTACGAAAGTTTCCCTGAACTGAATTATTTTGAAGTTTTTTCCGGCGTTTACTAATTTAAAATTATTCCGTAGATGTAGCTCTAAAAAAATCCAAATTAAAAAAAAAAAAAGAACGTCCGAATATGTATAGCAGGAAATATAAACAAAATTACACTAAATACCTAAGAGTATCAAGAGATAAATTAAGAAATTCTCTAAAATTATTACCTATAAAAAAAATTAACTAATTATGCAAATTATATTGTTGTGCTGGCAAATTAACATCAAACTATGGCTGATATAGTATGTATCCCAACCAAGGAAACTTTATCCTACATCTCAACAATTGTTCCTCTGCTTCTATATTTTTAAAAATATTTTAAGTTTTTTTTTAATTTTTTATTTATTATTAATTTTTTTTGAAATTGGAAAATTTTGTATCCCTACACTCATGTATTTGAGAATATTATTTAAAGAAGTTTGATATGTAATTAAAAAATATTTTGCACCGCAAACACCCTTACAAAGATATTTTAGTCAAATTAAAAAAATGTAAGGGTGAGGAGATAATTGTTGGGGTATGGAGTAAAGTTTTCTCCCACCCATATCAAAAAATTACATACAATTGTAATTTGTAACCAAACATCTCTAATTAGCATAATAGAAAAATATATTGGAAATACATTGTATAAATTTAAACAAATTGAAAATTCATGTACACTTCTAGTGTCCGAATAACACTATCTGGAAGGAGATTTATGAATATGTTATCCTGATAGATTTGTATCCGACAAAATGCTAACTCCAAAATTTAACAAAGTCAAACCTCAAACAAAATAGGAATAAAATGAATAGAACAAAGACATTAAATAAGACAATATGCTTTAATTTAAAACTACGAAATAGATTGTTACATCATAATCACAAGAAACATTGTGAGGAGTGATGTGGTTAAATTTACCGAATATTCTTCAAATGGAGCAATTCATTGGAATGAATGATTAAAATTGATTAAGGAACTTAAGTTGAACGAGAACGAGTAAAAATTTACATATTTTAGCTAGTTCTTACGTAAATAGTGATTATTGACATTATTGAGCTATTTACTATTTTAAATTGAAGAGTTAGCGAATGGAGAAGGAATGAGGTTTCATTTGATCATAAAAGGTGTATGGATAACATTACCCGGACACTATGTCCAGAGAACACTGTTCAGACACATCAATTTGTACTTTTGATGTGTTTTAATGTAAAGTCGGTGTTTTGTATTGTTGATGCGTCTTGATTGTATTATCTGAACGATAAGAGAGAGTTATTTTGAAAAATTCAAAGAATGTGGGAGAACCATTAAAGACATAGTGAACAACCTCCATATTTGAATATATAGGGTGAACTTAAATGAAGATAATTTATTCTTCCACCTCAAATTTGACCTGTCATCCCCACATATTTTTGCAACGGCTAAAATATCTGTTAAAATTTAAACAAAAAAAAAACGAACGAAAAATTCGGTAGAGCAATTGAAAAATACAGTATACAAAGAAAAATATGATACCCATGACCTTATTCTAATAGTAGCTATGGTAACCCGTACACTCAATACTCATGACCTTATTCTAATAGTATTTATGGCACCTTTCTCCCAATGTGTGGAATATGACACCTCCACCTTCAAGGCAGACTCCTCTTTTCACTAATCCTCCAAGTGCATTTGCTGCTAATGTCACACCTTCTCCATTTACATGCACTTCCTTGTTCCTAGATTCTAGAGCTTTTTTCCATGTTACAATGATGTTAAAAATCTCCAGCAAGTTACTCCATTTGAAGGCCATGATCAAATCTACATAGGAAATAAGCAAGGTTGGAACATTCATTCTAGTGGTTCTAGCACTTTTCTCTCACCTGTTCACCCTCACATAAGTGTCAGTTAGTTATGTTTTTATCGGTTCTAGTAAAACTAACATGTGGAGGTTATGAACTTCTAATACTCATGCATTAAAACTTATCTTACATGATTGTAATATTCTCTTTAATAATAAAGATAATACCTATTTTTTGTTCAGCTTGTTGCATGAGTAAAGCCCATAAATTACATTCCACCACATACTCTCATCCATTGGAACGTCTCCCAATGCTTCCACTTGAGGTTTCAAATACTATATGTTCTGTGTAGATTCATTTTCCATGTTTACACAAATATATTTTCTTAAAACTAAAGCTGAAGTTATTTTTACATTTAAACAGTTCAAAAGAATGGTGGAACTCCAACATGGTGTCCCCAATAAGGCTCTTCAGTCTGATCGGGGAAGGGTATTTAGGTCTTTTACCAAATTCTTAATTGACTTAGGTATTGCCATAGGATCATATGTCTTAACACTCATCACCAAAATAGTGTTGTTGAAAGGAAACATAGGCACTTAGTTGAAATGGGCCTCACACTCTAATCAAGCCACCTTACCTCTCACATATTGGCATTATGCCTTCTCAACAACAATTTATCTCATCAATAGGTTTCCCTCATCATCTATTGGATTCCAAGTTCCCTATACTGTATTGTTCAATATCAAAGTTGATTATAAGTTCTTAAGAGTTTTTTTGGTGTGCCTGCTTCCTTATCTTAAGACATTATAATACTCACAAGTTGGATTTTAGGTCACAAGAATGCCTATTTATTGGTTACTCCACCTTACATAAGGGATATAGGTGTCTATCATCAAGTGGGAGGTTATACATCTCTAAAGATATACTATACAATGAGTTAATATTTTCTTACGAAGAATTATTTTCCAAACTTGCTCATATCTCTTCCTCACTTACACTTATTTCTCTTCCATCCTTATATATTAATCCTTCCATATATCTTGTTCCAATCAATTTAGACGGTCAACCTATTTCTTATAGACCTAGGTCATGCAATTCTTTATTTGTCTCCTTTGATACAATCACAACTACCTCTAATCCCCTGGTTCAATCCCCTCTACTGTCAGCCACCTCAACTGAATCTTTTCATGAGTCAGAGTCTTTCTCTAAACATTTATCTTCTCTATCAACTCAGTCTAGTAAGTCAAGTCATGCCCCGTCCTCTCATTCTGCTCATTCTAATGATACTTCTTCCACTCTGTCAAGTGACACTCCTACTACCTCCTTAACATCCAATATTATGTCCATACCACCTAAAGTTGTTCCTGTCACTCACAAACCTGTCAACTCTCATACCATGCAAACTAGGGCCAAGTGTGGCTTCTCCTAACCTAAACTTGAACCTAGAATAGTCAAACAAACCTTTGCCGACTTGCAATGGAAGGCAACCATGCAAGCAAAATATGATGCCTTAATTCACAACAATACTTGTACCTTTGTTCATTTACCCTATTATAGACAAGCCATTGGATGTAAATGGATTTTTACGAATAAGGAAAACTCGAATGGATCAATGATTAGGTACACGATCATACTTATGGCCAAAGGGTTTTATCAAAGGTATGACTTTGAATTTAATGAATCCTTTTCCCATGAGGTCAAACCTATTACAACCGGACTTTAACTTTAATGAATCCCTTTCCCATGTGGTCAAACCTATTACAATCAGAATCATTTAAACCATTGCAATTACTTACAAGTGGTCAATCCAACAACTTGATGTCAATAATGCATTCCTTAATGACCTACTTGATGAGAAAGTGTATATGGAACAACATAAAAGATTTGAAAGTTCAAATCCATCCTTGGTGTGTAAAGCTTAATAAGACTCTTTATGGCCTCAAGCAGGGCCATATTCAATGGTTCGAAAGACTCTAAACTGCTATATTTCAACTTAAATTCAAAGCTAGCAAACGTGATCCATCCATCTTCACTTATTTCTCAAATGGCCACACAATTATTTTCTTGTATATGTGGATGATATCATTCTCACAAGTAGCTCTCCCTTTCTTTTACAATTTATAATCACCAAGCTCAATGTGACATTTTCTCTCAAACATCTGGTGACCTAGACTATTTTCTAGGCATTAAAGTGAAGCAAGCAACACATAACTCCTTACTTCTGACCTAATATAGATATATGAAGACTTATTGTAAAAAAACTAACATGCTTAAGGCTAGCCCTATTCATACATCAATGCAATCTACTATATGTATAGGTCAGTTGTAGGTTCCCTCATATATGCTACCATAACTATATATAACATAGCTTTCTCTGTGAGCAAAGCATGTCAGTTTATGTGAGCAAGAGAATTCTGAGATACCTCAAGGGCACAATTGGCTATGGTATCCACCTCTTCCCCCTTTTTTCAAGAAATCGTCCTCCCTCTATTAAGGTTTTTTGTGATGTTGACTAGGCTTCAGACCCAAATGATAAAAGAAACACCTATGGTGCAACTATCTACTTTGGCTCAAATTCCATATTCTGGTGGTCCAAAAAGCAACATGTGGCCATGTCCAAAACTGAGACATAATAGAGCCTTGCTCGAGCAACTGCTGACCTCTTTTGGGTTTAAACTCTTAAAGAGTTAATTGTGTCAACTAAAGTCCCGATAGTTTTGTATGATAATCAATCTGTTGTTCTTTTAACTTACAATCTTATCATGCATTCAAGAACAAAGCACATGGAGAAAGACCTCTTCATTGTCAGAAAGAAGGTCTTGGCCAAGCAACTACAAATCATACACATGCTTGGCACTGATGAATTTCTATGTGCTCTTAATAAACCCCTAACTTCGATTAAATTTCTTACACTGAGACACAAACTCAAGGTTGCTCACACTATGTGCTCTTAATAAACCCTTAACTTCGATTAAATTTCTTACACTGAGACACAAACTCAAGGTTGCTCACACTGTATTAGAGTAAAGTGTAAGTTTGTTTAATATAGTAAAATGCCTAGTCGCGAGACTGCTATCAGTCAATTTGAGTGTACCAAAACATGCTAATAGAAAAACAAACATATGCAGTCTTTATAACTAATTTCATAAATCAAAAGCAAGTTAAAACTGAAAATGGAAAGAGTAGTTTTCAATTCTATCAATTTGGCAAACCCAAATTTGACCTTATACAACCCTAATAATTCATACAATATACTCTGTAACATGCCAACATCAACTAAAAAATGATCAACACTTGTGTTTTTCTCTCAATAATAGCCAAGTGTAGATTAGCTTAAGATAGTAAAATGCCTACCAAAACATGCTATAGCAGGTCAACTGTTTGCTAATATAAAAACAAACAGTTACAACCTTTGTAATTAATTTCATAAACTAAAAATTCAATTCTATCAATTTAGCAAATCTAAATTTGGCCCTTGTACAAATAATTCATAGGACATACTCCGCAACAAGCCAACATCAACTCAAAAATGATCAACACTTCTATTATTTTCAATAATAGCAACAAAAGCAACCAACATATATGATATAGAGCATGCTATCAACCAAGCATGTTGTCACTCCACAACATATAGATATACTAGCTGAGCATACAACAATGACACAGGCATATCAAACATGCATCCAAATCAACAGCATTATCGATAAATCTTAAACATACAATTGGTACTATTTATTAATTATCATGGGAGTTTAGACATTTCATATAAGCTCCATCAGTTCCAAATCTCATTCCAATACAACTTAAAGATTTCATATTCAATTTGTAGATGTCCAACGACTCAATAACATTAAAGTTCTTTTTCATTTGTGACAAAATTATGGAGTTTAGAGAACCTAGATATGACTTATATCAAGGTATTCAAGATACATGGTTGATTTGCGACATTATAATCAGGATCCCAATATATAACAGTTTTCATAAACTCAATGTAAAACAGGTAGCCATTCTAAAAATTCACAAGTTTAACATTACTGAGGTACAAACACAAACAATAAACAGAAGTTTGTTTGACTGTGTAATAGTAATGGAAGTCTTCTTCCACTGTGTGAAAGCATTATATTGAATCTACTATACATCACATGTAATGTAATACTTTATTCCGTGTTCATGAAAGTTTACAAGAATGCCATATAATTTATCTTCTCAATTGGTTTCGTGCTAAAATATCATAACAGCTGAACTGCAGCTATAGCAGGTATTTTTTCTCGCAATTTTTGTGTAACAGCAACACGCACAGTTATGACACCGGCAGCTGGACCTGTGATTCGTACCTTTACTATTGGCTCCTCAATGGCTACCAATTCAAGAGATCCACCAGCTGCCCCAACCAGATATGGCCTTATTTCCTCTAATACCTGAGACAGTTACTACATTATAAACTCTGCAAACATATAAGATTAACTGACATAAACATGTGCTCTTTAAGACAAGCGAACAGGTTCTGCAATTCGCAATGGCAATAGTAATTAAACTAACAGATAATGATATTAATCTTGTATAATAATGATATGATAAGATAGAATAGAAAGACTCTATTTGTGTCCCATTTCTTGTACGTAGAGCAAAATGCAGAACATTCAAAGTTCAAACACATAATGGGAAAAACATCTTTCTATTGACAGTTAATACTCAACCTGAAATCCCATACCACCAAATAAACAGTGTATCGATTTAAGCTAGAAATTTACTTTCTATTGTATAAACTGACTATTTTTTGAGTGAGAAATGTATTAAATTTTTAGTTAATTTAGATAACAAATTAGTTCCATGAAAGTTTTATGACAAAAGTGTGTAACTCTACCCCAACGGGGTTGAACTTCACAAATTTAATCTCATAAATGGCAAAACTGAAAATAATGTAAGAGTTCTAAATTAAAACAATCCTCCCTCCTCACGCTAACCCATAATACTAGGTACTTCTGTCATTTTGGTTTCCTAATCAACTTGTTGCTTCCCTATGATCGCAAGAACTCCACGTTGTGTCCCCGGTGCCTCCTCTGAATCCAGTGGGTAGACTTAAATGATATACATGTAAGCAACTAGTCGAACCAATTTGACACATGAAATCTTATTTTATTAAGTTGTAGCGAGCATCTCTTTATGCATATTTTAAGCTAAGTTATTACAAATAGCTTGCAATATGATTGACTTCATTCCTTTATGCAATATGCTTCAATTTTCAAGTAATTTGTGATGTGTTGTTTCTCTCCCAAAGCATATATAAATGAGTGTACATACGTGTAGCCATTTCAGAAAGCGGAGAATATGATATAAATTTTCTCAAAAGACAACATAAATAATGAATATTCAAATATGAAATATGGCACACGCAGACTAAGCAGTTTAGTATATGCAATGCATAATCATAATGCTACACATAACTAACCTTCTCAATATTTTCATCATTTAGCTCAAGACCAGTCTCTTCGTCAGATATCGGTTCAACTGCAACTATTTCAGGGATCTTTTCCATTAATCTCCGTTCAATGCCCAATTTCATTGTCGTAACAGAACTGGGACACGACCCACAAGCACCTTGTAACTTCAACCGAACAACATTGCCATCGATTTCATGTAGAGCAACATTTCCACCATCTGAAATGAGATACGGTCGAATTTCATCGAGCACAATTTCTACATTTTCGGCAGTTAGTGGCAATTCCACAGCTGGATCTGGAGTGGCAACAGCCTTTATAGCTGTATAAACATAATAATGAAGATCAGATTAGGGATCCCAACAATTCCCAATTTCCCAAACCGAATTGCTATATAAATGTAAACTGAAAGAAAGAAATATTAAACCTGAATTTGGAATTAAGGCCTTTAGTACTAGGCTTATTTACAATCCTATAGATATGATATTGTTTAGATAAACAACCGTTTAATTACACCCTTTTAAGTGTTTATGTATAAACTATTAATATAACAAAAGCAAAACTAAGTCAAACTGCTTTCAAATAAGCAATAAATTGTTTTCATAAGTCATTTTGAGCAACATAAGGAAATAAGCTGGACACAACTTATGTATAAGTTGTGTAAGTATTTACAGTAGAAACTGTCAACCCAAATTTTCTAATAATCATGAAACTAAAAATTGACATCCGTTCGTAAAATCTCCAAATTATTATATTTAAAAACTGCAACTGGCTCCTCTTCCCACCACCTCTCCAAATTTAAGTGGCGAGAGTTTCACTTATTAATCTCAGTGTTTTCAACATATCGCCACTTTCAATCTGAATCAACAAAACAATTTAATCCAAGAATTGAGGGGCTTACTAACCAAATTGACGTGTAGAGTGCGGTGAATGAAACCAAACGCAAGGACGCATAGAGTTATTGTTCTTCCTCCTAAAAGGAACATGATTACCGAAAAAGCTTGTACCCTGCGATGATGAAACTATATTAGCACGAGATTGTTTCAAAAAAAAAAGAAAAAACGCAACGAAAAGGTACCTTTTCGGTGTTGGAGGAAGAAGAAGGAGAAGATTGAAGGGCTCTACAGTAAGATTGTGTATTGAGCACCACACCTTGCATCGGTGTGTTGTTGTTTTGACCTAATCAATCAAAATGTTGAAATTGTTCTTCTTTGTTTGTTTGTTTTCTTCTTCTCTCACCACCCAAACACCATCGCAATTCGCAGCAACTTCCGTTTCTACCTCTGCTTCCTTCCTTTTGGGCTTTCTCTTTAAGCCCAAGCCCAACCTTTACGGTCCAATGTTTTTTCTGTTACTTTACCGGTCAATGCCACGTGTCAAGATCAAAGTAATACAGATTTTATTTGTATGTCATAAAAAAATAACATTTTTTTTAGTGGATCCATTATAGTACATACATTAACTTTTACAGAAAACTTAACACACAAAATTAAAGACACATATCCCAGAAATTAATAATACAAATATTAGCTTGGACCTGAAACAATCCATAATCCCAATCACACATGAATCAATTAAAAAAACAATTAAAAAGGAGAAGCATAAAGAGGATTATTATGGTGATTAGTAGAAGAAGAACTCTTTCTCTTGAAAAACAAAAATAAATCACCCACAAGTGGAACTATAGGCTTCTGCTTTCTAATCTTATTATTATTATTATTCCTCTTTTTCCCTCCAAATATATGGTCATTTTCTCCAAGACTTATTATATGAGCCAGTGTTTGTGATTCTGAATTCTTATGAATATTCTCTCTCTCAACAATGCTCTCAAATCTCACACTCTTTGAAGCTGCTTTTCCAGCTGCTTCAGCTTCAGCTTGAGCCAACTTTGACATGTTCTTGTGAAGCTCAGCGTTCAGTGTTGCCAATGCTACTTCTGTTTCACTTCCTCTCTCCTTTAAAATCTTCAGTTCTGTCTTTGTTTTCTCAAGCTCCGCCTCCAGCTTCTTTACGCTGTCAAAAAGAGTTTCACTATTATTAAATGATGATGATTTGATAGGACTCATCGGTGATGGTGATGGCGACGATGGTATTGATCTCCACGACGATGATTCTCGCTTAATAGAGACAGAAGGAGAATAATAAGATGCGGTAGCAGCAGCAGCAGTAGTAGTGTCTGAGAATGAGAATGGCTTTGGAGTCGGAGACGGAGATGGAGAGTATATTTCTCCGACAAGAATACGTTCGCCGAAGATGGCTACGGCTTCTTTGACAGAAGTGAAAGGACGGGAGGTGTCCACAGTCGAGCTATAATCGAACCTAGGACTCTCCGGCATAGGTTCATCATGTTCCATTATTTTTGTTTTGTTTGTCGAATGATACAATGATAGGAGGATTATGATTTATGAGTACTAGTATTTGTTTGAGTTGAGAGGTTGGTGTTTTATTTGTTGGTTTCTTTGCTTCTACTTCAGAGTTATATAGCTAGTAATAGGTAGAGAGAGATATGTTTATAGAATAGACAATAGAGTAAGGAATATGGTAGGTTGTTATTTGAAGGCTAAGACATAACAAAAATTAGATTGTGTTGTTGTTCATGAAGATGACATGGTAACTAACGGTTAAATCCAGTGACAAATATGTTTATGGATTTGTTTTATTTGTTTCAGATTAAGAATGTGTGAGAATGAGATGGTATTTGAGATGGGTTACTAGGACATAATAATTTGTACCAAACTTGATTTTGTTACAACATGATCTAAACACATCATGAAAGTGATGTTCCACTTGGGTATTGCATCATAACTGAAACTGATATGAGATGTCTTCTATCATTTGTCAAGGACAAGTTTCTTAAAAAGATGATGAACCTAGTATCTTTGAATTAATGACCTCATCAGCACAAGCTAAATTGCATATTCCATCATCTTTTGAGTATTTCTATGCCAAACTCGTTGGAGGAACAACTATATATGGACTAAATATACTCAACTCTTTCAATTACATATTATATCCGAAATAAATTTTAAGTAAGGTAATTATACAAATTAATTTATAAGTATAGATTATTCTCTATGCTCAACTGTATAAATTAATCACTTGAGTGGGAGAGAATTACAATAAACTGAAAATTTTTCAAAAAAATTAGCCTTGTCTATATTTACTAGCTATGCTAATTACACTAACCAAGATTTAAGATTTTTTTTTTTTTTTGTTTATAATAATGTCTGAAATGAGTATAACATAAAGAAGAGAAGAGAGAAATAAAAAAATAATAATAAATGTTACTATTTGAAAAGATAGAAATATTCTTGATAATACAACTTCTTTAATTTATTTTCTAACATATTTAATTAAATTAGTTTAATATAATAAATTATGAATTTACTTTTAAAAAACAAACAAATATTTGAACTCGTCCTAGTAAACACACCCTGAAAATTTGGAACCCTAGCAGTGCTTCCGTCTCCGTTCACCGTCATCCGCCCTACAACCGCCGCTTCCGATGGCTCTGCGAGGAGTTTGGCAACTCAAGAAGCTCGTTGTTAGCTATAGCGATTGGGGCGGAAGTAGCAGAGGTATTAGGTATATATATAACAATCCCCTTACATTCTTTAATTTTCAACCTCAAATCCATCGCTTTGTGCTTTCGGAAACCTATTTTTCATTTGCGTATTTTGTTTGCGAAATTTTCGGAAAATAAGTTTTGCTTGCTTTTATTCAAATCGTGGCTTATGAACCCTAAATCATGTTGATTAAATTGATTTTGCCAAAAAGTTTGGTTTTCTTCCACTTAACGATTGTGATTGATTACACGTTTACAATGTTCTTTTACACGTATCGATGTTTCAATGAGACTGCTACTTATGTAGCACCGACACTTCAAGGAAAAAGGTGTGCCAGTGTCGGTGTTCAAAACTGACCCTGACATTTTTGATTATGATTAATTTATTCATATGCTATCTTGCTTTGAACTAGAGATTCTTACTTTAAGTTTTGAATATTTGATAGGGCATTTATGGAGTCGCACATGCCAGCGTTTAAGGAGTCGAATCCTCAGTTAGAGGTGGCCACTGAAATGATTCGTGGTCAGCATCCACATTTAAAGGCTTTTTACAGTAAGATTCCCGGGCTTGCTCATAACTTTGTCACTAAGTTTTTTTTTAGTAATTGTAACCAATGATTCTCTTGTGGAAAACAGAGAACCATAACGACCGAGTGGTGTGTGTGAAGAATATGGATCCGGAAGAGATACTTCTGCATGCAACCAGGCTGAGGAATGCTCTCGGAAGAAAAGTAATAAAACTGAGAACAAGGCATGTAACCAAACACCCTAGTGTGCAAGGTACATGGACAACTGCTTTGAAATATTAGGATGAATAAAAACATGTGTATGAGAATGCTACCCTTGTAGTGCTGAATCAATCCCTTTCTTTGGCCAATTCATCAAATATTTGTGAACTGGTTAGCATAAGTTGTCATGTTGTCATGTTCAACTGCCAGGATTTCAATAGTTCAGGTCAGATATAATCTTTGTTGGTTTGGTTTGAAATCTTCTGTTAGTTAAAAGTCATAGCTTAGCCTTTTAAGTCTCTTTTTGATTAGTTATCATCTTATTATGGCTAAGGAATTGAACTTGTTCACATTGTTATTATATATTGCTAATTTGTAATAATATCTATCAAATTCTTCGGAGTTCTAAAATTCTTTTGCATTCATACTTTTTCTAACTTGTGAAATAACCATCCTGTACTCTAGTCGCTAAAGAAAAATTATTCATTGTTACTATATAATGGATCTGCATTAATCTAGAAACTTGATTTAATCATTAACAATGCTTAAAAATTTTAGTACACAAGTATCATAATAAATATTGTAAAACATCACTAAACTATTTTTGTATAAACAAATAGCTGCTTCATAGTATATTCTCCCTGTTATTGTTGGGCGTTCCATTCCACATTAGCTCTGCTAATTGGTGATTCGCTGTCTTAGTTGTATGAGCTCCATCATACAACACATCCAGCAGGGTTATGGGATAACTCAAAGTTTTCTCTTCCAATAAATCCTCCTCGACAGTGTCGACACCCTTAATCTCTATAGGCCCTATTTCTACTGCAGGTTATCTTTCCTTCCTTAAACTCTATACAAATACGGAGAACAATTTCAGAACAAACCTCAGTTTTAAATTGAAGGTTATCTTTTCTTTCATTAGACAATCGAAAATGACCTGTACTTATTACCTCATTGTAGTTGTCGTCATCATCAGAATAAAGCAATACATTGATTTCTTTTGTGTTTTTGTGCATTTCACTTTCTAAGTTTACTACATGACCCTGACCTGACTCATCGGGCAAACTGTATTTTGGTAAACGTTTTTGACCAAAATTGGTTGCCCATCTGTCCTGATTAACATCGTAAGCTTGAGTGAGTTCCATAATAGTAACAAATGGACTCTGAATAAGTGAGAAGCAAGGACTGTAAAACAACCACGTCTTATTACCAGACCGGTCAAGTATAATAAATTTCTTCTGCAAAGATGCTTAGCTTTGAACGAACCCTTGCACTTCATTGATCTGATCAGTCTGAAGCCTTGGGGTAGCAGGAGCTGTGAACCCTGGAAATGCATTGGGAGCAGGAGAAGTGCAGATACCAGGATTCAGATATGCTGAATGACAATACAGACTGGGATACGGCAATGTGCTGGCGAAGTTCAAATAAAGAGATGGTCAAGCCACATGCTCTGGGAAGGCCAAAGCTCATGAGCCTTAACCAATGAACCCGAAAATGTCCCAAAGAACAGTAGAACCACTCAGCGCCAGAACTTTGGTTCTTTGATATGGGATCTTCAATAACTTGCTGCTTCTCTTCGGAACAAATGACAGAAAAAGAAAGCTACAAATTTTAGCTTTAAGATAAAAGAACAATTATGCGACCAGCGTAAGCAAATGATGGAAGGTATCAGTCTGCAAAAAATTCGAAGATAATATTCATAATCGATAAACTCATTATATTATGATAAAACTGATAACATTGTTTTGTTTGGTATAGCACTTTAATATCAAATAGTTGTTTTAGTGTTTTGTTTGGTATAACGCACTAATTTCAAATAGTTTTTAAATCAGTGATTGAATATTTGGATTCCTTTAGCTATTGCTAAAACAGTGTGGTTAATTTGGATAATATTACCTAAACACAGCACAAACAAATACATAATTGGAAGCTGAAGCTTAATTACTCAATCATATACTTCACTCTTGTGAGTGTCATTTATATACAAGTGTATATTACAAATTTGACTTTGGTTTTTAGGTTTGTAGGTCAAAAAAGCTCACATTGCATGGTTGATTTTAACGATGAGTATGTCAAAGTTATAGTGAATTAGAGTGCTTTTATTGAAGTTATATTATATAATTTCTATAAAATCTTAATGTGATTTTAACAAATTTACTAAAAACTCAGGCATACATTCGATAATCAGCATGTCAACTGTTTTACATAAATTATAATGATTTTTACTATACCAATGTTTTCGGACTATTCAACAACACCAAAATTTCAAATTGAACCATCAGCTTATATGGTTTTGTAAAAATAAATAAAAGACTCTAATCAACCTTTGTGTAAAAAAATGTAGGTAATTTTTAGAATAAAATATTGTTGCGGTTAGAATATGATATCAAATTATTAATTAATTTGAATCACATCTTTAGTTCACAACCGGTCTTTAATTTATTCGAAAGAAATGTCAAAGGAAGGAAAAACCTAATTTTGCATCGCAAACGCACTGCGGGAAGAGACCTAGGTAAGGGTTTGGTTAAGCTTAGGAAAGGTATTATCATCCTAAACTTCTGTAGTACTCTATAAGAACCTTTTGTTTAAATTTACTATTTTGCTTTATTATTTGCTTAAGAGTATATACTGCTAAGGGTTAAGAGTGAAAGAAAGACCTAAGGGTTAGTCCTAAGTTTACTCGGCAAGATTCACATCTTGTGCCTACGTATCCTGGATAGGGAATGAAATCAGAGTAACCGTAGTTTCCATGTGGTCAAGGTTTCAAGGGGAGTAAATGTATCTTAAGGACACGCTTACGTGGAGTTTTGAAACTCCTATTTTTATGTTGAAATGTTGAATTGAAATTAGAGTTAAATTAGGATTGACTAAATGTTCCACGGCGGGAAACCCTAAAACAGAGTGCGGCGACTCTTTGACCTAATGTTAGGGTAAAGGGTATTTTCGTCCACGGCGGGACACCTAGGCGATTAGGGTTTTGAAATGGTCAAAATCTTGGGTTATTGACTCGGCGGTCAAATTGTTAGACCTAATCTTTCGGAAGGTTTTGACGGTAAATTGATGCGAATGACGAATTATTACATGGCGGGGCATTAAAGTACGAAAATAAAGAAAACAGTAAAGTAAAAGCATCGCGGCGATCACTCGCGTAAATTACAAATCCCAAAAAAAATGTAAGAAATAAAAGCGACTAAAAGCGACGATGTCCTCGCTTAAAGTTACAACCGAGAATAATAAATAAGAACAATAATTGCGACAATTGCCTCGCATGATTACAATTGAAAAATGACAATATGAACAAATGAAATATTGATAAACTGAAACGAATAAGATAACGAGGGTTAGACAGAAATTGAGACGGCTAAAATCAGAGTTTTATTTTTTTGAATTTTATTTAAAGGGAAGAATTAATTTTTGCATTTAAAAGGAGAAATTATTTTAATTTTTGATGTATTTTTTAAAAAAAACTTCTTTTAATTTGATTAAAGAAAAATGCTTTGATGAAGAACAAATCTGTTTTAATTTTAAGGTTTTAAATGAAGAAGAGTTTTTTTTTAATTTTTGTTGTAATAAAAAAATATTTTAATTTTTTTAAAATTTTGTTTTGATTAAGAAAATTGTTTCTTAAAAAAAGTTTCTTAATTTTTGGCTTGGAGTTTTAAAAATAAAAGAAGTGTTAATAATAAATTAAAATATAATGTGATTAATAATTACAGTTTTAAAAAAAAAGAAATAATAAGATAATATAATAATATGATAATATAATAAAAAAATGAAAAAGAAATAGAAATAGAAATAAAAGGAGTGGGGATTGGTGGATGGTTGTTCTGGGTTGTTTTTAGGGTTTGGAAAAAAACTCTCTCCCTTATTTTTAGGGTTTGAGAAAAAACTATTTCCCTTGTTTTTAGGGTTTGGGAAAAAACTATTTCCCTTGTTTTTAGGGTTTGGGAAAAAACTATTTCCCTTGTTTTTAGGGTTTGGGAAAAAACTATTTCCCTTGTTTTTAGGGTTTGGGAAAAAACTTTTTCCCTTGTTTTTAGGGTTTGGGAAAAAACTTTTTCCCTTGTTTTTCTTCCCAACCGGTGGCGGTTGTCTTCCATCGTTCAGAGTTTTTCTCCTCATCTTTCGCTTGCATGTCTTCTTCTTCCTCTTTCTAATTCTTCTGTTCATCTGGAAAAAAACAAACATTGTTAGAGTGGCTTACCTGTTTGGACGATGGATTTCGTCCGTGGTGTGACTCTGGCCGGTGATGAAGCTATCTTCAGAGGCGATGGTGACTCTGCCCAGCTATGTAGCTATCTTCAGAGGCGGTGGTGGCGGTTCGTTGATCTTGATGATGAAACTTTGAAGGTTTTTCAAAAAATCTCCCCTCTTCCTATCAATCGTGAGAATGGCCGCCATTTTTTTTCTTCTTTTTGTCTCCTTTTTTTCTTTTTGTCTCCTTTTTTTCAAATACAACTTATGTTTATATAGGTATCAAATTAGGTTAACTCTAACCTAATGCCCATTTAAAAGTCCAACTTAATAAGTTTATATAGGTATCAAATTAGGGTTAACTCTAACCTAATGCCCATTTAAAAGTCCAATTTAAATTAATATTAGTTATAACTAACTAGAATTTAAATAATTAAAATAAAATTAAAATGCTAAAAACATAAAAAAATTTATGTTAAAATAAAATAATCATAATAACAAATTTTTAATATTAAGATGAAATAAACCTAACAGTTTTTTTTATATAAAAATGAAATAATTATAATAATAATTTTTTTTATATTAAAATAACATATGAAAAATTGATATTAAAATGAAATAATCATAACAAAACAAAAAAAAAATCCTTTTTATTAAAATGAAATGAAATAATTTTTTTTATTATTAATAATGAAATCAAACAACAATAGTAGTTAATTTTATTAAAAATGAAATGAAACAAAACTTTTTTTATCAATAATGAAATGACACAAAAGGAATTAAATTTATTAAAATGAAATGAAACAAAAAGAATTAAATTTTTTATGAAAAATGAAATGCCAACCCACACCATCCGATTAATCTCTGTCTCCGATACCATCCCCGAC